ACCTCGATGTTTTGAATTGTTTGAACTTCAAAGTCCTTTGATAATGTCTCTTTAGCAAACAGACATACACAGCCATACATATACTCCTTGAAGTAAATAAAAACACCTGGCTGCAAAGCCAAAGCTTCAAATATGTGTAGTTTGGCTGGATGGTCATTTAATTCCTGTGATACGCATCAAGCAGTAAGATGAAGAGGAGCTTCTCTGTGGGACAAGAGGTCTCATGCAGCCCCTAACTTCAGCTGCAGGACTCATCCTCTGAAACAGAAACACCCTGAGAAGGAGAATCTGGTGTGGATCTGAACTGTTCTTGAAAGGAGTCAGCACAAAGATAAAACACTTTTTTGCCAAACAGTTCATTTATCAGATCGGGGCAGAGAAGAAGGAACAATTCTGCCCCGAATCCCACGTTGATACAGAGGAATCCATGAGGTCCTTTGCTGAGGAGGTTGAGGAGCTGCTGAGGAACTGCTGAGGAACAACAAGATGGTGATGAGGTTGAGATGTATGAAGGACTACAAAACCATTCAGATGGAAAAAGCCTGATGTTCACTAAAGTGCTTAGTGATCTCCTCCTCATCACACCACAAAGGGGATGATAGCACCAGAGATTGCCCCAGGAGTAACAAGAATATTCGTTGCGCCGCCACGTGAAGCCATGCTTAGAGAAATGATCAGATGTTTGTGGTGGAGTCTGATCGTTCTTCGTCTGACCCTTCCCCTGAAAGTGGAGAGGACACAGAGGATCCCATCCCGTAGCTGCGCTACATTCCTCTGCACTATCCTATCCAATGTTTGCTCAAACATCTGTGGCATCAACATCCCTCCAGTTTGCCACCGAACGTCCCCCATGCAGGTGTGTCATGTCGACAATACTGCTGATGATCTCAGGGGTAAAGAATAAATCAAAGAAGGATTCCACGTCATTAATTCTTATTTATGCCACTCGTAATGGCATAACGCGTGGGCCCTGAAAATACTGAAGTTAGGGGCTGCATGAGACCTCTTGTTCCCACAGAGAAGCTCCTCTTCATCTTACTGCTTGATGCGTATCACAGGAATGAAATGACCATCCAGCCAAACTACACATATTTGAAGCTTTGGCTTTGCAGCCAGGTGTTTTTATTTACTTCAATGAGTATATGTATGGCTGTGTATGTCTGTTTGCTAAAGAGACATTATCAAAGGACTTTGAAGTTCAAACAATTCAAAACATTGAGGTCAAGCTGGGTCAAGATCATAAATCTGTTTACCTCAAAGACACATGAAACAGCACAAATGAAAAACAACACTTCATGAGAGCACACTTAGTCCTGTCTCATTCTCACACACAATCACTCACACACATACAAGGTATAAGGAGGTTTAATATGTAAAAGTGTGTATGAGTTTGGGAATGAGGAAGTGAGAGAAAAAGAGCGAGAGAAAGAAAGAAAGATATGAGGTGAAAACTGCAACTTGCTGTAAACCAAATCTACTGTATATTGTTGTCTCTGTACACACACACTGTACATCCATACACACACACACACATGCACGGACACACACACACACACACACACACACACACACACACACCAGCACGCATGCACGCACACACACACACACACACACACACACACACACACACACACACACACACACACGCACAGCACACAGCACACACACACACACACACCCACACACACACACACACACACACACACACACACACACACACATTTCTCAGCTGATACCACTCTTCCACATCCATACCAACACACCTACATCATATGAGTTGCAGACATGTATTCCAATGGCTGTCAGGGCCCCATTATACAACAGGCAAAGAAACCAAGAAATGACAAGCATGTAATTCAATGGTAAAATGTCACATCTGGTTTTACAGTAAAAAGGACAAATGTAACTATTTTCCTCCAATATAAAACCCTGACATTACAAAATGCATGATTTTATACCGGTATGGCAGAGAGATCAAAAGATGTGGTTATAATGGGAGTGGATGGGACATTTTTGTCCGCGAGTGGCTAATGTGTGACTTTTTTGTTTAATCTGATTTTGTGCAAAAACTAATAATCAACCAAAATCCATGTTGTTGCTAATCTTTGACATATCCAAGACTGTGATAAAAAAAAAAGCCGACCCCCCCAACATTTATTATATGGAAAATAACTGCCTTTTTGTGAAAAAAAAAGAGCCAGTCCCCAGATATGTATTTTTTGGAAAATAACTAATTTTCTCTGTTTTCATCATGAAAAAAACAGCGGTTTCATGTATTCAAAATGGCATTTAAAGGGTTACAATCCTGAAAATGATTACATTTCTGGTATTTTCTATTAGGGCGGAAGTTGCTTTAAAGATTGAACCTAAAAAAGTTGTGAAAAAAACCTTTTAATATAATGTTTTTATCAAAGTCTTTTGCAGTGGACATTTTTGTCTCGAATGACTAATTTGCGTAGTCGATTTGTTACACAGTGAATTAAAGACCGATTTGAAAAATTGAAATTGGAATTCCAAAATAGATCGAGAAAATAGCCTTCTTACAAAAAAATCAGGCCATTTGCACCGACACAACTAAAGTTATTGCAAAATGAAAAGTGAAAAATGACCCATATGGACAAAAACGTCCACAGTGATACCGGAGGGTTTGAAAGAAACATATTCACATGAAATATAGATTACATGACATGATACTTGTTAGACGCTTTTATCCGAAGCGACTTCCATACTCAATACTGTGGACAATCCCAATCTCAGGGACACAAAATCACATTTTATTTTAAATTTTCAAATTGTATTTTGTAATCATCTTGCGACCCCCACTTTGGGAACCCCTGCCTTCGAACACACTTCACTACGTTTCCTGATTACTAACCTGACAAGAAGTAATAATACATTGTGTTCCGTTCAAAGCTCAATTTAGTGTCAATTAACATGTTTAAGTTTATTAATCAAACGACATCAAGGACACATTTGGTCCAATAAATATGTTTTGCAGTATGCCTTCATATCCACATTAATATAGAATGGACTGAATGTGTTAGCTGCTGATCCTCTGCAGCCTGGAGAGAAGGTCATGTGTGTGTGTGTGTGTGTGTGTGTGTGTGTGTGTGTGTGTGTGTGTGTGTGTGTGTGTGTGTGTGTGTGTGTGTGTGTGTGTGTGTGTGTGTCAGATGCAGCCATCTGTTAGGCAGCTGTGGAATGATGTCTCACTCTCTCTCTGACCCCCCCCCAACACCCCGACCACGGCCGAGGTAGAGGTGCGCTGAGCTAAGTGGTGCAGAGATGCTTTGTGAGAAACAGAAAACTCTCTGAGGAGCTTAGATCACTGACAAATGATTAACTTCACACACACACACACACACACACACACACACACACACACACACACACACACACACACACACACACGTACACACACACACGTACACACACGTAAACACACACACACACGTACACACACACACGTACACATACACACACACACGTACACACACACACACACACACACACACACACACGTACACACATGTACACACACACGTACACACACACGTACACACACGTAAACACACACACGTAAACACACACGTACACACACACACACTCCGCCATGTATATTTGAAGATACTGCAGATATTTGTACTACAGGTACTAATACAGGGGAACTGTCAGGGATAAACCACAACCTGGTATGTGACGCATTGTGTCTCATTGTATATAGATTCATACTACAACAACACCACAATCTGTTCTGTACTGGTTCATCAAGTACAACAATAATGCACCTGTGTGTCCTGTCCTGCCAGGGATGACTTTTTAACTTTGAGTTACTTAGTGAGCTGCCAGGGAGCTCGGCCATTGGTGGGCAGTCTAATGATTCAAATAGAGTGGTTTTAGCAACAACTAATGACATATATATTTGAAGGAGTATTGGTATTTACAACACCAATATCCGACATCTAGAAGTCCTCAGGGAAAGTTTCTGTATCACTGGCTGCAGCAACTAGAGCGAGGAGAGTGATGTGTTGCTGTGCAGACGAATATACTAATGGCTATAATGAATATTTGTGCAGCAACAATGGCTGCAAAGATATAGGAGTCTGGATAAGTATTCCCCGACACTGCAGTTCCTCCCTCTGTAAAAAGCTTTAAAAATGTCTTCTCATTGAGACAGAGACAGAATGTCCCTCCAGAGAGAGTGAAGACCAAAGCAGAGCTAGGAGGAGAGTGAATATGGAACTCCTGCACTACAAGGATGAACGTAGATCTGTGGCAGTGGGTGTCAATAAGCAGCTGTTTGCTAGCAGTTGGCCATCTCTACCTGAAGTGGAGAGGTCCATGTTGTGTTTACAAATGGATTACGCTGCACAAGGTGGTCAAGAAATCAGTCATTACAGGTTCAGTTGACATTGTGAGTGCTGGAAAATGGATGGGAACGATTGCTGGTGTGACCAAATTCAAATTTGAGTGTGTACCAAATAAAGTTATCATGCTTAAAAGGAAGTCCAAACGCTGAGCAAAAAAGACTTGATGAATACTTGATTTAGGAATATGTAAAGAGTCAGTTAGCTGGCTGCTACAGACTGCCACGGCTAACACACTCACAACTGACTCAGTGCCTCACAAAGCTCAGGACAAACAGCAGCAGGCCCACTGATGCGCTGATCCGTGCACAAAGTTACAAAGACTATAGTCCTTAATCTCCACATGAAATAACCTAATGTTCAGCTTCAGTCTTTCCACCACACATCTCTTTCCACCTAAGTGTCATTAAAGGTTTGATACGGCTACGTCCATGTGCAGCTATACTCAAAAGAAACAATTGAGCCAACGTCATACCAAAAAGAAACCTCCTGCAGCACACGTCATGCCAATTGTTTATTCAAAATGTCACTGAATTGTATTAATGGCAACAATAACTGTGAGCTCTGTAAAGGTGAGTTCCTATAACGCAGAACAGGTTCTCTGGTCGGTCCATTCAGAACCCGAACAGAGCCATGACCACTGGAGCTGGACCAATCCACTGCAGCTTCCTGTTGACTCACTGCGAGTGTTACAGAGCCATGACCACTGGAGCTGGACCAATCCACTGCAGCTTCCTGTTGACTCACTGCGAGTGTTACAGGGAGATCATCCGTCTGAGCAGGAAGATGTGTTTAAGAGAGAAGAACAGATTTAGCACAGTGACCTGGAAAACACACCAATGGTCCAAACCAACTGGAAAGATGAGTGTCTAACATCGAGAGGTTTGTGATACTCAAACATAATGCTGCAGAAATATTCATGTCAGACAAAACTGGAGCTAAGATGTTTCCTCCTTTCCAATTCCTGCTGCTATAGTTGAATGAGTGCATGTTTAATAATGATCACCAATAGTTTTCCTTGTCCTTTCCAGCAGATGACAGATGCCTCTTAAAGCACATGTGTGATTTGTGATGTTAAATACATTTAACTTGCTTTCACTTCACAGCTGTTGCCATGATTGTCATATTGCAAATGATGTCTCCAATTGGCTCAAGTGTTGCAGTGATATTCTCTTAAAGCCGAGAAACATTTATTTTTATGTTTTTATTAAACACTAATTTACAGCTAATTGCAGTTGTATTCAAACACTAGTTAGAATAGAAAGTCCTACTAGTTCATGGCCGTGATGTTTTTAACCAATGGAGTTTGCAGACAAAGAAATAATTCTGGTCTGTTTTCTCAAACAGCTTCCTCACCGTGTGAATTTGAAAAGAGAACAGACAGTGGTGATGGGTCGTGTCCAACTTCTCTTGGCTCTATCTGCACCGGCTTCCGAAAGGACTAAGAGCTCCTCTCTGAAGTGCAACACTGAGACGGAGCAAAGCAGCCAAACAGACTCTGCTGCATGTACAGGGTATTGCTGTTGCACATTCTATGGCCATGGTCGTACATACTTTTATTCTGTGTGCTTTTCTCCTTTGTATTCAGTAAGCTCAGTTTATCATTGCTTGCCTTTTTCACCTGCTATGCCACTCTTTTGATTGTGATTATTCCTCCAGTTTCCTTTCCAGCGCCCCTTCAGAACACTTCCTTCATCACAAAGGCTTTTGTTACATCAGCAACATCTTGAACTCTTTGAGAATGAGAACAGACGGTATAGTGTAAAAAGAAACAAGGTGAATGTACCCTGCACACACACACACACACACACACACACACACACACACACACACACACACACACACACACACACACACACACACACACACACACACACACACACACACACACACACACACAATCTAACGTTGATGGATCGCGTGTATCCGGTCTGTCGGTGATCTGCTCAGGCGACTCATTTGCTCTCATTGCGCATGAGACCCTCCGATCGTTACACAACAAAGCTTACCTGCAGCACCGCGCGCGCTTGTGTGCACGTTTCCATGATTGTGTTTTTTCCCCCTACATTTAATTTGTAATGAGCTTCAACATAGGCTCCATTTATCATCTTTACAATCATCAGCAGCAGGTAACACACACAAGCGCGCTTGCAAGCTCACACACACGCGCTCGCTCACACGCACACGCACACACACACACACACACACACAAGCGCACACACACACACACACACACACACCAAAGGTCAACCACTTAACCCGCTTTAATCACAGGCGCCATTAACATCAACACGGTATTATGTGGGAATCAACACCGAGACATAAACTCGCTGTCACTTCCATATTTCAGCGCGGCCCCGCTCCTCACAGCCCGGCTCTGGGCTCTCACTGTCCCGGCTCCCGGGACCCTGCACCGACTCCCGGCTCTCCTCTCTCTGAAGACCGGAGCTCGGTTTCTGCTCCCGGCTCTCCGCTCTCTGAAGTTTCATGTTGCTTTCAAACGGAATGTGATTCTTGTGTTTTTCGATAGGGTTTTTTATTTTAAAAACATCAGGTAAAATGCCACGAAACGAAATTCAAAAATATTGTAGAGTTGGCGAGTTGAATTATCCTTGATATGTTTAATGATGATATCACAAAACACAAAGTCAACGATATCGCTCTTTAGTGTTTTAAAGGTATTTTTGGAGCGTTATCTAATCATAGATCATTTGTACTTAAACTGGACAATATGAAGCAATAATAATAATAACACCTTTACGCGTAGGCCAGCACATGAAAAATAAATATTCAACGCAACAAAGTAATTATTTTAATACAAACGTAAACAATATAAATCTATTGGCCTATTTAAATTAGGCTAAATCAAATCATCCGTAGTGTGTTTGACCGCGAGCCTAACCCTCTATTTCCACACCTTTTTACAACCCGTTTTCTGAATGTTTTCAGACCGTGATTTGTAATAATTTAATATTTCTACAATTAAAACCTAGGCCTTGTCGCTGATGTGAATAAACTGTGGATGTCGCTGAACGCAGAATGAGATCTGAATGTTTGTGAAGGCCAAACAGAATCAGGTCTCAGACAGATATTTAAATACAAAACATGTCCAGCAGACAAACAGAAATAAAGTCGCTTACTCACCAAAAGCCCTTCGGTTGCTCTGGTTCATTTACAGAGCTGTATGTAGGCTACATTACACGGATTATGGGATACAATCGGCAGCTTTATAACCATGAGCAACGCTGGCTTGAGAACCTGGCGTTAACTCTACACTCACACTTTAATCTCCTTCAACTAAAACCGTTTGTGCAACAAAGAGTGGAAATGAACGTTTACGACTGTTTTATTTTTTTCTTAAATCAAAGTTATTTTGGAGGAGCATTAATACAAATGAGATCATTGCAGAGGCCTTCAGACCCAAAGGAAACAGCATAACAATTAAAAATATGGCTGCTGTTCCCGCTGTTCAACTGCATCTGCGCGCTCACGTAGGCAATATATTCTCCATAGTAAGGCGCGCTCATGAGCCACGTGTAAAACCATAATCGGAGCTATTTAGATATTAAACCACTTTTAGCTGTTATTTGTCACGCGCACTCAGCCTCTGTCTCAGTCAGCCTCTGAGAATATGAACATGATGCTTCTGATCAAACAATGCTCAGTGCTAATACTGACAAACTGAATTTACAGGAACTCTGTAGTTTTGAGGAGACTTTTTCTGAGAAGCAGACTAAGATCTGACATGCACAACACAATTAACATGTGTGTCAGTTTAAATGACCCAGCAGCAGAATGGATTAACAGAATATTAAAACCCGTCTTACTTTGAACTCTATATTTACCCTTCTATCTATCCATCTGTTCTCAGAAAGCGGCTGCATGTTGCTGCATGGTGCAGATGTTTGGAGGGTCTTACCTTCAGGTCTGCTGTCAGAGTGGAGCCAGAGCAGAGCGGCCTGCACACTGACACACTGCGGACACACACTCCACTTTTCAACCACTGAACAGGCACCGAGTGTCCCCCCACACGTCAGAAATGTTTCAATGTTCCCAATTCAAACCCCTTTAAACCCTTAGATCATTCACATGTAATTCTCTCCATGAACAACATGTTTACACTGGTGATACATTTGATGGATTATTACAGTAATGGAAGTGTTTGTCAATCACAGGCAGAGTGTCTTGTTATTTCATTTCATTTTGATTCTTATTTATTATTGCTGTATTCCTTTACTGTGATATTGTCGAAGAAAAGTTATATTTCAATTCACCAACTTTTATTTTTATTTGCAAGACAATGCACAGATTGCTGCTGATTGTTATTTGTAGAAAACATATTTGGATGAGTTGCAGCATTACCTTGGCCCTTATCATCACAACAGAAATAAGGAGCATCTCTGGTTTCACATGTAAATGAACTCAAATCATTCACGTCATAAAAATAATAGCAAAATTATGACTTTTCTAAATATTGTAATTACATTTCAAGTTAAAATGAGTATAGTCATTTATTGATTCTTATTATTAACAATTTGGAGTTATTATTACTAATACTAGCCTATTAAAAACTCTCTTTTACTGAATAATATTCTTGTGTGTGTGTGTGTGTGTGTGTGTGTGTGTGTGTGTGTGTGTGTGTGTGTGTGTGTGTGTGTGTGTGTAAGATGCTGCATGTGAGCTGACACTTTTTTCCTAATTGCTCTGGTTCCATGTGGTTGTACCAACATTCATGTGTGTGTGTGTGTGTGTGTGTGTGTGTGCGTGTGTGTGTGTGTGTGCGTGTGTGTGTGTGTGTAAGGGATATCCTCTCGGCCTTGGGAAAAAATCTGCGTGCGACAGACTGACAGAAAGCAGACTGTGGCACAGAGCTTCCTCTCAACTAATGAATTCCTGATCACATTTACACACACACACACACACACACACACACACACACACACACACACACACACACACACACACACACACACATACACACCACACACACACACACACACCCACACACACACACACACACACACACACACACACACACACACACACACACACACACACACACACTACTTTTTAGCTGCAAGACCTCCTCAGACCTTAGTCAGGGAAACTTTCTTTTGAATCAGATGTTGCTGGAAACGATAATAGTACGCTCCAATACTAGTGTTTTTGTCTGGAACAAACAAATACTTTCTTACACCTCTTTACTGTATCTTTTTTTCTGTTGGATGGAAATATAAATGTTATTTACAACTCTGCACTATCAATGCACAGCATAAACAAAGCAAACAGAAACACACTGCCTTTTTCAAACCCACTGTTTTTAATGCAGAAATTGTAAAATGCTGGTAGAGCATTCGGCATTTATTCATGAAGGAAGACAGATGGTCTTCACGTGCAGAGGCTTCAGAAGCTGCTCAGTGGCCCATGCTGTGGACATGTGTGACCAGCAGGGGGCAGACTGACCTGCTTCTTAAATCCATGATACGCTGTAGGCAGTTGAAAACACTGCTGTCATCACCATCCCTCCTACGCAGGGGCGGATCTACCGGGGTGGCATGGGGTGGCAACTGCCACCCTAAACAATAGCCTTGCCACCCCAGCTGCCACCCCAGTTGACATCTTTGTTTTGAAAGAAAAGTTGTGGCTCATCGGACATTTATGAGAGAAAGTCTCTAATGTCCGAGTGCAAGTGAATGCAGCACAATATGCACGTCATGTAACCCCTCCCCCGGTCCTGGCGCGAGAGTGGAAATATGATTGGTGGCGAATTCACTTGAACGGGGGGACGGCGCAAAACGATAAGCCTTTCGGACCCAAGCACTGAAGGAATGAGGTAGTTGCGGTCTACACTGACAGAGAAGAGACTGTCAAGTTTGGCTATACTCAGCATTGAATCAAAACGCACTACAGCTGTTGATCTTAATAAGTTTGTGAGGCATTTTGCTGAACAAAATAGTAATCGCCGCATTCAGCTGTAATATACATGCCAACTTGATGCTCTGCTCACGGATGACTCGATGAGAATAACAAACTGTTAAGATGATGACCTTGTATGCGTGTATATATTTTTTTCTTTGAGGGGGTCTGCCCCCAAAAAACTGTTTTAAGTCCTGAGAAAGTAACATAAGACGGTGTGTAAAACTACACTGCCCAGCCAACAGAAAGTAACCACTTTGATTTAACTAGGCCAGTAGGTAAGGACCTTCCACTGGATAATAACTGCAGCGATGTTTATGTTTTAGCTGAATACACGTTTTTTAACCCTAACTGATGCAGTTAGTCACTTCTTTAATGTTTGTTCTTTCTGATGTAAAGTCAAGGTTGTAACTGTATATCAATAATGATATAATTACTTGTTTTTCAAATTTGAAGGAGGGTGAGCAAGCATCTTGATGAACATTCATCATTAACTCCTCCAAAAAATATAGTTTATTCAATAATAAATGAATATGTGAATCATAACAGTTCTTCACTATATCTGTAAAGCGTCTTTGAGCACCTGTAAAAGCGCTAACAAATTAAATCTATTATTATTATTATTTATTAACAGTGATTGACAGCTGATAGGAATAATATGATTGTTAATAGTATCATATTCATTCAGACAAACATCGATGAGACAGTTAATTAATGTACTTATTGCAGCAGTCTGCATAGATTTGGTTCCCCTGCTGGTCTAAGAGTGAGACCAACTCATTCAGTTATTGTTCAGTTAAAATTCATTAAATTACGTCTGCCACCTTATATGTAAGGCTTTACTGATGTGCCACAATAATATCACCTTTGTGATTGAGTTAAAATATTAATATTGTGGTATTCCAAGTTAACATTGATTGTAGGGGTGTAACGGTTCACAAACATTTCGGTTCGGTACGTACCTCGTTTTTAGGTCACGATTCGGTTCGGTACGTTTTCGGTACAGCAGAAAAAATTATCACAAAACATTCAATATTTTTTAAAAATTATTATTAAACTGCGACTAATGTATTCAAATAAATACAAAATATAGTAAAATAAACATTAAGGTGCAGCATTTCGATGAACTGAAATAATCTGTATTTGTACTGTACTGTACTAGTACCTAAGCAGCCAGTTTGACATTGGACTTGCTTGTCATTGTATTTTCATGTTGTTTAAAGAAAGATGAACTTGTCCACATTGCTTGCCGAAAGGGCAGATCTGCTGGCACTAACAATGTCTCCTGCTGTGGAGAACACCCTCTCTAGGGACAGTGGCAGCAGATACAGCCAGGTAGCGCTTTGCTAACATGGCAGCATAAGGATATTTGACGTTTGTAATAGCTTTGGCTTGGTCTGATCTTTCTGCGAGTGGTGGAGGCTTAAATGCTAGTGGGAGTTGGGTTTGAACTTCAGTCTTTTTTCTTTTGGTACCGGTGATATTCACATTCGGGTGATGCCTTTTCAAATGAGTGTGCAAGTTTGATGTATTGCAAGCCGCGTAACCAATGTTAATTGAACAATGCCGACAAACAGCGTTGGTTCGGTCCACCTGTCTTTGTCCTTCATCCTTGTACGTAACTGCGAAACCAAAATGTTCCCAAACCGGAGACTTCAATGATGCTGGAGGATTTTCAGCTCAACTTTATCTGCGTTCGCCGTTTCGACAGTTCCTCAAATTACTGACTACATTTGAACGCATCCCTGTGACCAGCTCTCATAGTATGCCTCTCGTCCAATGAAATGACTTGCTCGCTCTATGATATAGATTACTTCCAGAAAGTTGTTCATGTTCTCAATTTTTTACGTTTAACGCTATATTCGTTCGGTACACACGTGTACCGAACCGAAGGGCCCGTACCGAATAATTTCAGTACGGGTACGTGTACCGTTACACCCCTAATTGATTGATATGATTGCGATTTAAATCAGCATATACTTCTGTCAGGGGATGCCACCCCTCAAAATCTCCTGCCACCCTCTTGCCACCCCATGAATATTTGTCTAGATCCGCCCCTGCGTCCTACTGCAGCTACTAAAAACATATCTCCCAAAAGTATTGAAATAATTCCATAATTGAGATGAGGACCCTCTTTCTAAACACCCTCATTTTTGAATTAATTTAATGAACACTGATGTAATCTGCCTCTTTCTTTGAAAAAAAGAATCAATAAAG